TGGAGTCAAGACTCTAGTAATTGCGGTGCTTAATGCAATCAGGCTGCTAAAACTCGTGAATTACTTCAAAGTGGTTCACATACTCTTTCTAAATCTATGGTACTTTACTAGGGCTTTCATTCTTTGGCTTTTAGTAATCAGTTTTTCTTAATCAAAATCGTTGCCATAATTTGCAGTGTACAAGAAACATTATCCACCAGCTTTACATGATGAAGTTTGGAGATTGGATAGAATAGCGAAGGATGGAGCACTGCACAAGAAATTGCTGAAGGCTAAAATTGTAACAGTTGAAGATTTTCTTCGGCTTCTTGTGAGGGATACACAAAAATTAAGAAATGTAAGGAATTCCTTTCCCTTTAATTCCTCGGGCCTCCTATGTGGGTTGTTATAGTAATCAATATTTTTTTTTCTTTTTTGCATTTTCTTTTCTGATTCTCCCTTCATTTTCACAATATAGATCCTTGGAAGCGGAATGTCCAATAGAATGTGGGAGAACACAGTGGAGCATGCTAAAACCTGTGTCTTGGGAGAAAAGCTTTATGTTTACTACACTGATCAAACGAACAACACTGGTGTTATTTTCAACCATATTTTTGAACTCAGCGGCCTTGTTGCTGATGGACAGTTCTACTCTTTGGAATCACTCACAGAAAGTCAGAAGGTTAGATATTCTTTGTTTCCTTTGTGCTGCTTAATATTTTAGACAACATGCACTGAAATAAAGAAGGATACAAGTTTATAGCATTGGTTATAGCATAAGTTCTAGCCTTGCCCTTAAGGATGATGGTAATTATGTGGAATTTTGGCCTGCAGATTTCAGTGGATTCACTGGTGAAGGGGGCATATGAAAATTGGCATCAAGTAGTTGAATATGATGGCAAAGTCCTCAACTCTATAGCAAGTTCTAAGAGGGGATTAAATGCCTTGGCTGCACCAATAAATGAGAACAACTATTGCACAGATCGCTCCAACACAACCACTCAGGACAGACAGCCATACATCATGCCTGATCCAAGTCTACAAATCCAGAACAACCACCACGCAGCAGTCCCTCAGCTGATTAAGTTTCCCTGTTTGAGCTCTGACCAGAATGCAGTGATGACACTAGATAATCCACAAGCAACATTCACTGGTAATTTGAATTACATGTCAATTGGGAATCCTGCAGCTTCCTTTTCAGGTTTTCAGGAAGATTGGTCTCAACCAAGGAATGGACAGGGATTAGAAAACTTTTATGCAGAAGAAATTAGACTTAGAAGTTCAGAGATGTTGGAAAGTGATGACATGCAGAGGCTGCTGAAGACATTTGGCGTTGGGGTTGGAACGGAGACTGGTTTTGACTCTAATGAGGCTTCCTATGCATGTAACATTTCCTTTGATCATCAGATAGACCACGCATATGGGAAGGAACGCAGCAGGGGCTCTGGGAAGGCAGTAGTGGGCTGGCTTAAATTGAAAGCTGCTTTAAGGTGGGGCATATTTATCAGGAAGAGGGCTGCAGAGAGGAGAGCTCAGCTTGTTGAGCTAGATTGACCTTGAAGCTTGGAAGGAGCTCTTGCACAGCTCCAAGTTCTGTTTTGTTTTCCATGCTTTTGTTACGTAGGCTATCTAACAAAGCCAGATGGGGAGAGGAGGTGGTGATAATAGAATTCCTGTATATGTGCAAATTCTTAACTAGTTTTTTATGTACCAGACATATTTTTACTTGTGTAATTTCATTTTTTTTAATTTCTTCCACTAATGATTTAGTATATACCTTCATTTTCATTTGTTTAAATATATCCATACAGATTTTTCTAACAATATTGATTGCCTTGAACCCATGACCAGGTGAGGTAAAAGGCGTACAGATGGAATACAAGGAAAAAGAAATAAATACATCAAATACCAAATGACATGGTTTTAATCAATCATCAAATCAAATCTAAACCTAACAAAGTTCTATTCATTCTTCCCATCTGGAAAACAATAAGAACGAGCAAAAGACATTTATTTAAAAGAAACTAATAATTTCTCTTCAAAAGTGTTGCATACTTCCTGGTGAGAAATTTACTTATCCAAGTTAACCTCAGAGGCTGCTGGCTTCTATAGCATTCTGAGATATAGGAGATACAAAATCTAAAAGAAAAAGGAAAAAAATTTCTCAAGTGGCCGTCCATAAAGAGCTATGGAAACACCAGTAAGTAATTTAAAAGAAAATAAAAATAAAAATATAATAGAAAAAGAAAAAGAAATGCTGTCATCAGTTGCAACAAGAAATTAAAAGTTGCAGCAGTGATTACATAATGATACAGACTCCCCTATTTAGAGGAGTATACTCGTGTCATCCATCCATCAAACCCAAGAATCAGCTTAATAATCCATCTCACATGCATGACCCGGGAGAGCGGCATATGCATCAAACCCAGAATTCTCCATCCATCAATGATGTCTGATTATTCTGTCCCTGCATCACATCCCTAATTCATATCAATGTCTGCTAACAACAAATATAAATATGAAGAGACAGGAATGGAATAAAATGATTGGTCAGTGACAAACTAGTGCCATCAACAAATATAAATATGAACTTGAAAACAGATACGTTATGCACGATTAAGATACTATCATTTTCAATAAATTTTATAACTTTGTCGATGCTAGGTCAAATCTAAGATGCAGACGAGGAAAGGGAAGGCAGAAAATGTAAAACAGACAAATAAAGTTCTCTGGTCATACCGGTTTGATCATGGCACTCATTATATCATCCAATTCATAATTACTTTGAATGAAACCATTTTGAGACTTCATCTGTTCCAGGAAGAAGTCCTCGTTGGATCTCAATTTTGAGCCATAGGTAGATTTCTCGTCATCAATGTGCCCAGCAAGAGGAGGCATGCCTCTATTTAACTGGCTGAACAAAGAATCATCAGCCCTTTTACTGCCAACTGCACCATTTTGGTCCATTACAGAACCACTTGAAGGAACTAGGGAGTTAACTCCATTGAATGAGTTGTTTAAGTTTTGGTTGTAATCACTATGTTCTTCCCAAAGTTGCTTTGGTGTGTAATTCATCTTTCGAATGACATCATTATTCATACCAGGTTGGCACTGCATGTCTCCTACAGAATCCTCCAGGCGGGCTGTGATAGCCATGGAAGAAGGAAGGTCACCTGTGTTGTTTCCCACTTGAGAGCTTGACAAAGAGAAGTTGGCTTGAAGATTATTGCAAGACAGCTGCTCATGACCAGAAGCTTCACTTATTGGCAATGAACTCGAAGGAAATTTGGATAATTGAACAGCACCCTGCCAGTTATGGCTGCATCTATTACTATCAGTAAAATTTGAACCTTGAACGTCCATATTGAAAGATTCCTGATTCAGTGAGGCAACAGCAGGTGAAGATCGATTTCCAAATGCAGCTCTACTAAGTGTTTGCTGTGGATTTGCTTGTAACAGCAAACTGTTGCCTGAGGCTGTTGATATGGAGTTGCTTGAGCTACCAATTGTCGCTCTAGCATCTGGGAAGCTAGAGGCAACACCAAAAAACATTGGATCATTAACACGGTTGAAATCTCCTATTTGAGTTGGAGACTTGGTCTGCAAGAGCTGGTTGAGCTCTAATGATGTTGGGATCCCTTGCAACAAATTTGCATTTTGGTTTTGATTTGTAGGGAATACAGTTGGCCGAATCTTTCCAAGAGTATAAGCAGAAGTGTTCAAGTTTTGGGTGTGTCCCTGTTGGACCATGCCAGAAGCAGAAATCCCATGCAGACTTAAAGCAGCTGGGGAGTTCAGTCTACCAAGCATTCCACTGGATTGATATGATGATAGAGTAGTACTTGAGAGGCTTCCATGTCCACTCAATGTGCGAAAATCTCCAAATTCATCCAGTGAGGCCATGCGCAAGAAAGATGTATCTTTACTGCCAAATGTAGCCACCATGTTTGCTTGCTGGGTTGCAACACTACTTAGTCTTTTGAGATAGAGCCTATACTTCTGCAAAAGAATACAAGAACTAAGGTGCCATCACTATCCAGTTCTATGAAACTAATACCATTCCCAACACTACATTGAACCATAGAAGTCTGAAAGTAAATGTTTCAGAAGAAAAGTCCATGCCTGCAGATGGCTTGCTACATTTTCCCTTGTGAGCCCTTCAACATTCATGAGGTCAAGAATTTTCTTTGGAACAGCCTCTAAATTGTGAGCAAAGAAAAAGAAGAAATGTTAAAACAGAAAAAAGGCAGTTAAACATGATACTGACCCTAAATAGAAAGAACACTTGTCTATGTTAAGAAGACTTACTGTCTAGACCCAATTGATTGACAGCTGCAACAAACTTCCTGTGCAGCTCTACAGACCATACAACACGAGGTTTCTTCTGCGTTGAGGGATCCTCATTTTCATTGCTATTATCTTCATCCTCCTCTTCTTCATCCTCACTTTGGTCCTTTCGTTTCTTATTTACTTTCCCACCCTGAGTAGCACTGCCTGTTGATGTGGTCCCTTGTCCAGCTTCTTCAGTTGTTCGCTGAGCCTTGTTTTGGCTCTTGGATTCAAATTTCTTTCTCCTAACTACATGTTGCCATATGTTCTTCAGTTCCTCAATCCTAACAGGCTTCAACAAATAGTCAACAGCACCATGTGTAATCCCCTTCATTACAAGCTTGGTATCACTATGAGCTGACAACACTGGAATCCATCAAAGAGAATAATGTCAAGATATTTCACAAAACCATCATATATTATTCAACCTCAGCCTCCTAGTAAATGACACAGAAAATTACTTCCCTAAACTTTTCAAGCGACAGTAGTTTCACCAAGAAAATGGTAAACGACGTTACATAATACTGAAGGGTTATTCTTTCATTTCATAAAAATTCAAAAAAGTAAAAGGGAAAAAAAGCAAGGATAAAGTTATAACATTAAACCCCACACAAAGGAAAAGGATTAACACTTACTGATTACAGGTAGTTCCATTTCAAGCCCCACAAGCTCAAGAAGCTTAAAACCATCCATGTCTGGCATATTAACATCACTAATAACAAGATCGAATTTGTGCTTGTTTTCCCTCAACATTTCAAGTGCTCTGATTGCCTGAGTAGTTGAAGTAACTGCAGAAACCATAGATATGGCATGTCAAAAAAACAAGTAAAAATTTATGAACACAGAGTCAAAACTAGAAGAAAGCAATTAAAAAGGCTCCAATCAAATGGATTTGGCCAAAAAACAACACAAATCCTCTTGGCAGAAACAGTTGCTTATAGTTAATATCAGTCAAATCCATGCTACAAGCATAAAAGAGCAAACTTTCTCAACAGAAACAGCGCCTAACATTTTGCAAAAGGCCAAGAAACTCAAAAATATCAAAATTAAACAAGTAAAACACAACCATTAAAACAATATTACAAATAATGAAAAAGTTGAGACAGCAGGTCAAAATTTAGAGCAATTAACAAACATTTTGCCATTTTGCCAAAAGAAGTGAAAGCATGCTTCAAATTTCAACACAGAAGAGAATTGGTAACTAAAACATGAAGTACATGAAAATTACAAGAAGGCAAGAGAGGAAACAGACCTTGATACTGGCATTTACGCAGCAGATTCTCCAAAAGCTTGAGACAGGTCAGGTCATCATCAACAGCCAAAACCCGCATACCCACCGGAAATCTTTCCCGGCCCCCATCTTCACCACCAGAACCACCCCTTCTTTCCTCCACAGTCATCTCCAATCAAATTAACAAAAACACCCAGATGAGAAACACACCCAAAACAGAAAATCCCAAACCCCAAATTAACTCTCTTCACAATCTCCAGTCTCCCCACCCCCCACCTTTAAACACCAAATATACCCAGAAACAGAACAACGCAGAAAAGATTGAAAAAAGATACTGAATTTGAAGAGAAACAAAAGCTGTAAAAAGGAACAATGATGGTGATGGCCAGAACAGAGTTGAAAGCTTTCAGCTTTCAACTTTCAACATCAAGAAAACCAGAAATCTATTATTAGTTTTTTTTTTTTTTTGCAGTACTTCTCTCCCTCTCTGTTCAATTTTTTGTTCTTTTTCTCTCCCTCTGTCTCCTCTGTATTTGTCTTTTAACTTTTTTTTCCCCCTAACAGAACACAAAACTCACAAATCAAAACCTTTTTATTTTTTTAATTACTCCCATTAATTTACATAAAGCCTGTTTTCTTTCTCTTTTTTCTTTTTCTACTTATTTTAGTATTATTATTCCATTTTTTGAGTTTTCTTTTTCTTTTTTTTTTTTAAGGTAAGACTTCCGGGGAATGGTAACGTACGACGGTTGTGTATGAATCTTACAATGAAATTGTCACGTGCTTTAATTTTGGACGGTCCTGATGATAGTGATGGGATTACGTCATAAATTAATAAGCAAGTTTTGAATTTTAAAAATTACAGTAGGTACGGATTTGTTTCGGAGTCAACAGCTGTAAAAGTAAAACCTACGGAGATTATGGTTATAATTGGGGGATTTAAATGCTAATTATCATTTCGGGGAAGTTTATTAGTACAGATTTAAGAAGTTCCGTACAAAATTCCCATGTTTGATTTTGAATTGTGGAATTTCCTTCTTAGATTAGAGGCAGACATAAATTATTTTTAAATAGACAATTATGGTATTTAAAAATATTAATATGTGAATTAATTTTAAGTTATTAAGTAATAATGTTAATTATTTTATTATTCATTAACTAATCATTATAATTATTAATTATTTTTAATAATTAAACTAGAAAAATTAACATTTTAATAGGTAAAATTTAAAAAAGTTTATATAACCTAACAATTTGTTCAGTCCAATAACCATTCCTGATAAGATGCAGTGGAAAGTTGGTTTGGTCCTTATCCATTTTATTTGGTTACCTGAAGGAGAGTGATTTTAGGTGCTGTATTGTCTCAGAAATTGTGTTATATGTATATATATATATATATATATATATACCAAAATGGGAAAATCGAGATGTGTTTTTACGTCTGGATGTTTATCATAATTATTTATTAAATAAATTTTTAATTGAGATTCATTTAGCAAATGATTATAATAGAATTTCTGACACCAAAACATTCTTAATTTTTAAAATTCTAATATATATAGCAATCTATGGAGTCGGTTGCTTGAGAACATCATATTTAAACTTTTAATTTTGATTTAAAATTAAAATTTTTGAATGAATACTTATAAAGTATTTAACTAAGTTATTGGTATAAAAATGTTTTTTTTTTTATATGTATGATTAGCGTTGGAACTTTATTCTTCCCTCTCATATGGGGATTTCAATTAATTAACATTTCTTATAAAAAAAATCAATTTTTTTAAGTTTGTCAATGCTAATTCAACTAATTTTCTATTTAGTTGTCGTATTCGCGTCCCACGTTCAAGGGCTATAGTTCTTCAGACTAACATTTCTTCTTCTTCTTCTTCTTCTTCTTCTTTTGTGTCTATTCCTTTGCCAATATTAAATCATAAATTTTTTGGTATAATATTAAATTATATTTCTTTAATTACTATGTAAACACTATTTAGAGCTTGTTTCACTATTCCACAAAAAGAATTAAGGTTTTGTTAACTTATTTTTTAAGAATATAAATTAAGAATATAATAAATATATTTATTTATAATTAACTTATATTAAAAATAAAATTTTATTTTTAATTTATACATTATTTAATCATATTTATTCATGTGACATTATTATTAAAATTAATATGATTTTTTTTGTTTTTTATGTAAATTAAAAATTAAAAAATATATTAATTATATCTTTAAAATATAAATTAGAAAA